CGCCTGGAAGCCTGTGCACTTCCAACGCTTGGGCTCAAAGGGTGCGGGAGGGGGCAAAGAAAGGAACTGAGCTGTGTTATGTACACGCGGCAACTCCACCCAGGAGTGTAAACATTAGGTGCCACAAACATAAATTAATAAAAAGGCCTCGTGCAGCGTGCGTGCTCTGCGGATGGTTGTTACACGGCCTTGCTTAGGGAAGGACAAGAAATAAAGCTTGTGCTTGTTCAGTGTGACCGCGGTGAGCAGGTCCTGTGAGCGGGCACTTGTGGGTACGGAGGCAGCCCCTGCAGCTCTGTGGTGTATAGGAGCATCGTGTCCGGGGAGTTTGGAGAACAGCTGTGAGCCAGTGTGGCTGGAGGGAGCGAGAAGGGTGAGAGAAGCCTGCACACGCCTGTCTTCCCAGCACTCTGGGAGGCTGAGGCAGGAGGACTGCAGATTCCAGCCCAGCCTGGACAACTTGGTCACTGAGCAAGAACCTGTCTCAAGATAAAAACTAAAAAGGCCTGGGGATGTAGCTCAGTGGGGAGCTCCTGGATTGCCCCCAGGGCTGCCGAAGGAGGGTGCGTGCGTGCATGCGTGCGTGCGTGCGTGCGTGCGTGTAGAGGAGGGTGGGGAGATGGCTGGGCACACCTTGCGGGGCCTGGTGGGAGCCACGGAGGGCTCTCAGCTTGGAGGGACGGGGTCTACTAGCGGACCAGAAGGGGCTGTGGCTGCAGGGATCCAGGTGGCAGAGGGGGCTCCCGCTCCCAGCCCCAGCCCGGTGGCGGCGCAGTGGCAGTGAGCAGTGGAAAGGTCCTGGGTCGATTGCTTTGGTGTTGGCTTTTTGAGACAGGGCCTCCTTATGTAGTCCAGGCTGGCCTTGAATTCATTATGTAGTCCAGGCTGGTCTCGAACTCACAGCGATCCTCCTCCCTCAGCCTCCCTAGTGCTGGGAGGACAGAGATGCGCCACCACGCCCGGCTCTGAGTGGGTTCCGATACGGCCCGGACCCCTGGAATCAAGGTGGGTTGGTGTGGGGAAGAGCAAGTGGCCGCGGATGCCCCAAGTTGGAGCCTTATATCCCCCAGTTGGACAGAGCGGCGAGGTGACTGGGACCTTGGGACAGTCGGGAACCGGGGTCCCGGGCGCCGCCGCCAGAGGGCGCGCGTGCAGCTCGGGCCGCGGGAAGGAGCCGCGCCGTCGCTTCCCACGCCCGCTCCTCACCCGGGTGCGAGGTGCGCAGCGCACAGGTGTGAGCCCGCGGACCGTCCCTCCCGCCCTCCTCGCCGGCCGTTCCCACCGCCTCCTGCGCGCATCCGGCCTCTGCAACACTGTCACCTGCAGGGGGGCCTTCTCCGACCACCCTGGGGACAGAGGCCCCTACCTCACCCCTCTAAAGATCATTTCATCTTGACATGTTCTGTTTTCTTTTCTTGGTTTTGAGTTTTTGTCTTGTTTTGTTCTGTTGTGATATAAGGGATGGAACCCAGCAAACGCTCAGCTACATCCCCAGTGCTTTTAAAATTTTCTTTGGAGACAGGATCTTGGCAGTTGCCCAGGATGACCTCAAACTTTAAATCCTCCTGCCTCAGCCACCCGAGTGGCTGGGATTACAGGTGTGTGCCACCACGCACAGCTTTACAAACAGCTCTTTCCCTCCCTTCCCTCCTTCCTGCAGGACTGAGGCCTGATCCCAGGGCCTTGAAGGTGCTAGGCAAGTGCTCTAGCGTTGAGCTATATTACTTAATAGCTTCTTAACACTTTAAGACCTTGCAGTCATCTTATGTGTGTTTTATTGCCTGGCTTCTGCACTGCGGTGCAGGAGGACCCAGTTTCCCTCTCAGGGTGGAGAGTGACGCCTGGTCTGTGACAGGTGCTCAGGAAACAATCGTGCTAACCACCACCGGGCAAGCGCTCACCACTGACCAACACAAGCCCGTTTTATTTTATTTTGAGACAGGGTCTTGCTAAGTTGCCCTAGCTGGCCTCCAACTTGAGATCTTCCTGGCTCGGCCTCCTAAGTGGTTGGGATGACAGCTGTGTGGTGGCTCAGGCTCAGTTTGGATTCTAGGCCCCCATGGCCGCTGGGAGGGGCTGTGGACCCCAGCAGGCCTGCTTTACTCTCCTTCCGGTGTGAGTTTACACGGTGTCCCCCGGGCTGCGGGGTGGGGGGCGGGGCACAGTGATTAAAAGCAGGTCCCAGGCCAGGCTCTGCTCACAGACAGCAGGGTCCCAGGACCCTGAGCCCAGCCCCAGTCCTGCAAGGATGATGGCGCGGGGACTGCTCCGTGGACTGCTCACTGCTGTCCTGGGGCTGCTGATCGGGGCCTGGCTGCCCACAGGCTTGGGACAGCCCAGGTCCCAGGTCCCCCTGACGCAGCCCTGGGCTGCTACCAGTCGGCCTCGGGCCCTGGTGCCACTGACACCGCCCACAGCCTCTGCCCTGGGCAGCTGGAAGACCTTCCTCGGCCTGCAGGGCGGCAGGCGGCAGGGGCCAGGTGGGCCAAGGCGCGGGCAAGGAGTGGCTGGCTCGCTGTCTCTGCCTCTGGACCCGCAGGAGGTGACCCAGGAAAGGTGCAGGGCTGTGCCCTTCGTTCAGGTGAGAGGACGGGGGGGGGGGGCACGGCTAGCAGCCCCAGACAGAATTCTTAGAGGGGTGCTGGGGAGTTGAACCCAGGGCCTCACACATGCTAAGCAGGAGCTGGACCGCGGAGCTGCCCCCGCAGCCATTTCATTTTCATTTTGAGATGGGCCCGCTGAGTTGCCATGAACTGAGGGTCCTCCTGAGCAGCTGGGGTTCCAGTGCAGGTGGATTTGAACTCAAGCCCTGCATCCTGCACCTAAATGCCTCTGAACCTCAGCTTCCTCCCTTACTAAACGGCCATCAACACAGGCCGTGGCCACCTTGCTGTGTGGCCGTTGCCTCCCAGTCTGTTTTCCAATCAGCTTCCGGGGGCGAGGTGGGCCCTGAGTCAGGTCCCATCCCTCCTCCCCTGTGGCTTCCACCTCACTGGGACAAAACCCTAATTCTTCCTGGTGTCCCACGAAGTCCTCATCCTCTGGCGTTCCCTCTTGACTTCACCTTCCATTCCCCACCTCATTTCACGCCTGCTTTTCATGCACACCAATATTCCATCCACCCCAGGGCCTTTGCACTGTGCCTTGTGTCCTTTGCCTTGGCATCTTCCCTCATCCAGACAAGCTTTGGACACTTCTCTCACCTAAAGATCTGTTTAAAAAGTCATTTATGTAAAAATGTGTACCTGGAAATGGTAGTACATGCCTGTAATCCTAGGTGCCAGGGAGGCTGAGGCAGGAGGATCTGTCATGGATGCTATCAGCTAATGAAACCTGAAGTTCTGTTTGTTGTGGGATGGACTGCCTGCTGCCTTCACTGCAGTCTCTGCCCATGGAGGAAATATACTTTATCTGGTTTTGTTCTCTGCAGTGTCTCTGTTCCCAGGCCCTAGAGCAAGGCCACACACAGGATGGATTCAGTCAACATTTTCTTTTTTTTTTTTTTTTTTTTGTCTTTTTGAGATAGGGTCTCGCTATGCAATTCAACTGGCCTTGAGCTCACTTTGTAGCCCAGGCTGGTCTCAAACTGGCAAGGATCCTCCTGCCTCAGCCTCTCGAGTGCTGGCATTACAGGTATGCGCCACCACACCCAGGTCAACATTTGTTGAATGAATTCACGATGATTTGTAGTACTACCTGCCTCCTATGGGGATGGGGAAGGCGCTTGAAGCTGCACTCAGGTGGGGCTGATAAGGGCCTTGGCAGTTGACTCTGGGTGCCAGCTTCAGGTCCTGCTTTAGTGGCTGACTTCTGTGTGACCAGGGTACGTATCTTCCCTCCTCTGATCTCAGTTCTCACCCCTGCAAAATGGAGTTAGTGATCAGCAAAGGTCTGACCAAAGGGCTTTGGCCCAGATATTGGTTCCCAAGACCCCTTGGGTGTTTTGGGATTTTCTTTTCTGGTCCTGGAGGTAGAACGCACGACCTATGCACTGAGCTGCATCCCCAACCCTTTTAATATCTTTTAAAATTGATTTTTACTTCTGAGACAGGGCCTTGCTAAGTTACTCAGTTGCCCAGGCTGGGCTGGAACTTGCAGTTGTCCTGACTCAGCCTCCTCAGTGGTTGGGCTTGCCACCAGAGCCACCTAACCTGAATTAGGTCCTGGGACCATGGCCATAATGAAGACAGAGCGCCTGTCTTCGGGCAGTTTGTGTTTCAGGAGAGAAAGCCATGGCCGGGAGGGCTTGCAGAGAGATGGAACCATCCATGGAGCAAGCACAAGAGGGGCAAGTTGGGTGCTGTCTTCTTTCCCAGCCCTCTGAGGAGGAAGGAGGAGCTGGAGCCCCGTGGGAGGTGGGCAGAAGGGAACCAGGTGGGGCTCAGGACGGAGCAAGGCAGACTTCTGGTCGTGGGTGGGCTATGTGTCATCCTAAGGAAGAACACCTGGTTGAGGGAGGGTGTGTGCAGGTTCTCCCGCTTCCCCTCCTCTCCCCCCTCCCCTCCCTCTTCCTCGTTCTCTTTTTCAGCACTGGGGATTGAACCCAGCGCCTTCACACTGATCAACAATTTCAGCACCTCCCCCCCTTTATTTTTGAGACAGGTTCTTTCTGAGTCATTAAGTTGCCCAGGGCTACTGGAACTTGTTGGGTTGGAACTTGTGATCCTCCTGCCTCAGCCTCCTAGAGTGCTGGGATTTCAGGCCTGTGCCACACATCCACCTAAATGCAAGACTTTAGCACAGGAGGACCGTGGTTAGGGCTGAGATAATCGATCCACTTAGGGAGAGAGGGTCTTGGGAGGAACCAGTATTTATCGAGTACCAACTGCATACCAGGCACTGTGCTTCAAGTTTTCAGTTGAACCCTCTGCGCGCACCCCATTCCTGAGCCCCAGGGGTGCAGCCGTTTCCTCTTGGTGCCCATTCTGGGTATTCATGTCTGTCTCCTCTTGGGCTATACAATCTCTCTGTTCCTTGGGTAACTGACTTCCTGAAGGCCTGTGATGCTTTCTTCTTTTCCTGTGTGGACAGCCATGATTCTACAAGTGAGGAAAGTGACCCAGAGAGGCTGAGGAACTCACCGTGGTCACACAGCCAGGCCGTGGCAGGGTCAGGACTGGAGCGAGTAGCAGGTCCTCTCCCTGACCTGCCCCAGCACCACCACCCTGACCCTGCGTCCCCCTGTGCCCGGCCCCAGGTGCTGTCCCGACCCAGCTGCACGACGGTCCGCATCCACAACCACCTGTGCTTTGGTCAGTGCTCCTCCCTCTATGTGCCCGGCTCAGCCGCAGCCTCCAGCTCCCTCTGCAACAGCTGCGTGCCCGCCCGGAAGCGCCGCGTGCCCGTGGTCCTGTGGTGTGCAGTGGGCGGCCCAGCATCCCCTCGGCGGGTGAAGACATCCACTGTGCTGGTAGAGGGCTGTCGGTGCAGCCCGAAGCTGTGACAACGCCGCAGATGGACAGTCAGACACAGATCTTGGGGAGATGGGACGCGGTCACCATCAGGGCGGGGATGGGGCCTTAGATATCATGCAGTGGGAGAGCACATGCCAAGCATGTGTGAGGCCCGGAGTTCAAGCCTCCTGCATTGTTAAAAAAGAAAGATCCAGGCGTGGCTTGACACGCCTGTCATCCCAGCATTTGGGAAGCCGAGGCAGGAGGATCACTATAAATTTAAGGCCAGCCTGGGCTACATAGTGAGTATATGGCCACGCTGAACTACATAGAGACCCTGCCTCAAAACAAACCAAGCAACACCAAAACAAAACAAAACAAGAAAACAGGAACAGCAAGGAAAGGAAGGACGCTGACCTGGATGCTCTACGCTGGGTCAGAGATTAGGGACGCAGGGACAGGCAGGTCCTAAAGCCCTTACCCTGCCCCAGGGATGCTAGACGCAGCCCATGCTGAGGTGGAGGCACAGCAGACAGCGCGCTCACTGAGAACGCGCCAGGCGCCGGCAGAACCTGACCCCAGCCCGCACGGTGCAGCCCCAGCCGCCTCTGAGCTGGGGCTGACGTCACCATGTTACAGGGGTGCAGTCACACACCCCCAGCTCACACAGCAGCCCCCCCCCCACATGCCAGGCAAACGCTCCACCATCAAGCTACATCCCCAGCCCTGGATTTTTTTTTTTTAGTTTTGAGGATTGACCCCACGGCCTTCACACTGAGCTACATTCCCACGCCTCCTAATGTTTGAAAAAAATTTTGAGACAGGGACTTGCTCAATTGCCGAGCTGCCCATGCTGTGACGGAACTTGCGATCCTCCTGCCTCAGCCTCTCCGAGTGCTGGGGTGGCAGGTGTGCACCTCCACACCTGGCCGGGGATTTAGATCCTAACCTCCGCACTGCGCTGCTCTCGCACGACACGCTGCCAGCTGCAGGGACGGCAGATCCAGAGACACCGTCCTAGGGACACCCCAGAACCAGGGCTGGCAGCAGGCACAGTCGCTGCGGAACACGGGATACCCAGCTGCTTCCCCCCATGGCGGCTGTGGTTTCCCCGTCCCCCACCTGAGCCCCCTCGCCACCCCTTGCCCAGCGTGGCATCCACAGAATCATAAAGGTCGGCAGGCCCAGCCGCGTGTGCTCCTTCCTCTGAATGGGGCTCCCTAGGGTGGGTGACCATGGCGGGCGTGGACGTGAGGTGTCCCCTTCCCAGCCGGGGCGTGGGGTCCACTGCGGGCACGGGCAGCCTGGCTTTCCGACGGCTGGAACCAGGGCCCTGGCAGATGGGCCCGTCTGGCATAGGCGCAGGGACATGTGGCGCCATCACTGTTCCTCCAAATGCCCCCTGGAGCGTGGGGTGGGGAGCTGGGGGGGCTCTTCCTGCTGCAGGAAGGCAGGGCCAGGTGAGGGGGGCAGCAGAGGGCCCGAGGAAACAGATGGCCCTGTGGGGCGTGGGAGCCTGCAACCTCTGACCCGGCAGGCAGCGCCTGCTGGGAGCAGGCCTGGCCACAGCTCCCGGGGCTCAGGAGGCGGGGGGGAGGGCGGTCATCAGGTCCCGGGGGACAACCGCTCCTCCTTCTAGAACTCGGTGCCAACCCCGGGCAATGTCCACTGGGCATCTCGGCCCCGTCACCCCCTTTTTGGCGAGCCTGAGGCGCCTGCTTCCCACCCCCCTCAGCTGTGCCCACCTCCTGCCAGCCAGGGGAGCCAGCTGGGAACCTTGGTGCCAGGGGGGCCCCCAGGGCTCCTGCCCCCCGCCCCCACCCCCCAGGCCCCGTAATGGGTGGGTAATGAGTGTGGGGAGGGGGAGGGGTGGGGAGGCAGGTGCCACAGGCGCTGGCACGGGGGCTGCTAATCAGGTTTGCCAACGCCATCTGTCACCGCGCGAGCATCTGGGGCTCAAGGTGACCCTGTCACCCTCAGTTACAATTATGAGTTTGGCATCTGTATTAAAGCCCGCCAGCCGGCCAGGCGGGGGAGGGCTAGGGTGGAGACGAGATGCGCCGTGAGCCCCATCCCTGGGGTCTCGTTCCCAGGGGCTGCGTGGCTGCCAAGGCGTGGGGCGTCTCTGTGCCCGGGGAGCGTGTGTGTGTGTGTGTGTGTGTGTGTGTGTGTGTGAGCACACACGCTCCTCCCATTCTCCACCGCGATTCTTCGTGTGCACCTGGGGGCAGGGGAGGGGTTGTGGCCTGTCCGGGTGGTGGCCGTGTGCTGGAGCTTGGCAGGATGCCGGAGCGCACTCTGACACTGTAGGGGTGCGGGGGGGGGGTGTCTGTGTGTGGGAGGATGGAGGTTGCGTGTGTCTTTGGGAGTCTCTGGCAGGGTGTGAGAGTGTGTGTGTGTGTGACCCTGTGTGCGAGGTTGTGGGTGTCATCTGAGGGATGTGAGGCTGTATGTGCAGTCACAGGCTGTGGGGCTGTGTGTCGGATCCTGTTGGTGTGGGGCGTACGTGCCCTTCTGCGGGCACACAGGCAGGCTGGCAAGGGGCAGCAGCTGGGAGAGGCCGTGTGTTCTCGCAGGCGGGCCCTGCTCTGTGCCCTGATCCGCCCGGCTCCCCTGCTCTAATCGGAAGCGCTGAGGAGGGCTCAGGGCTCTGGAGTTTGCAGGTTGCTCTTGGGCCTCCGGATTCCTCGTCCCTGAGCTACATTCCGGCTCCTACCTTCTGCTTCTGAATAATGGAGTCTAGATTTCTGAATTCTGGTTTCCAGAGTATAGGTTCTTGGTTCTGGATAAAAGATCTTAATTTTATTTATTCATCCATTTATTTTAACGTTGAACTTTTTGTTTGTTTCGTTGAGGAAGTGTCTTTTCCTTTTCTTTTTTCTTTCTTTTTTGTTTTTGGAAGTGTCTTTTTCTGTAGTTTAGGCTGGCAGCCCTCCTGTCTGAGGCTCCCAAGTGCTGGAAGGACCTGGATTTTAGAGTGCGAGTTCTGCTTTTTTGGGTCTGAATTCTCGATTTTGGTATTATTGGACTCTAGATTTTTTTTGCCCCTTTCTTCTTGGTGCCAAGGATCAAACACGTTATAACAAGGCAGTTACTGTATCACCGAGCTACATCCCGAGGCTCTCGCGTCTGCATTCTGACTTTGCACACTGGGACTTACAGACGCGAGTTCTGGGTCTGGGCTTCTCTTTTGGACTCCAGCCTCGCATCGCTGTGTGCTCGCCCGAGCCCCACCCGGGGCCTCTGCAACCCAGCCGCCCATGAACCCTCAAGGATGAGTGCAAGACCACATGTAGCCACGAGGGGCCGCCCTTGGTCCAAGTTTGGGTTGGGCTGACCCAGCCGCGGCAGTTAGGGGGCCACGCTGGCCTGGCTTGACCCAGTCTTATAAGAGCCACAGCTCAAACGTTACCTCCCTCCCCTGCAGCCCAGTCTGCCCTGGGGACTGGTACCTGCCAACTGCCATGGACTTTGAACGAGAGAAATGGACCCAGTGCCCGCATAGCTCCCTGAAGACCCGCTATGACTGGGCCCCCACTCAGGCTGCCAGACAGACACAAGGTGGAAAGCGTGTGTGGCCAAGGGGGAGGGTGCCGTGGGTGTCTGGGGGGGGTCATTCGTGACCATGTTCCAGTGCAGTGACCCTGTGTGACAGTGGGTGGCCAGCTGACATTGACGTGTGTGGCAGTGCAGCCGTAGGGCCACATATCTGTGAGGTGTCACTCTGGTGGGACTGTGACCTCATACACAAGGTGTGACTGTGATCTAGGAGGGCATGAGTCTCTAGGTGTCCTGGAGAATGGGCAGTGTTCCGAAAAGGCTGGGTGTCTGTGTGGACAATGCCCTTATAGTGGGACAGAAGTGAACATTCTGGGGGCTGGGGATTTAGCTCAGCGGCAAAGGGCCTGCCTGTCAAGGGCAAGGTCGTGAGTTCGGTTCCCGGTACCAGAGAAAAACCAAAAAACCAAAAAAAAAAAAAAAAAGAAGTGCACATTCTGAGCCAGGTGTGGTGGCGCATGCCTGTCATCCCAGCATTCTGAGAGGCTGAGGCAGGAGGATCGCAAGTTTGAGTCCAGCCTGGGCAACTTAGCAACTTAGTGAGACCCTGTTTCAAAATAAAACCATGAAAACGGCCGAGCATGTAGTTTGGGGTTCAATCCCCAGTCCTGGGGGAAGGAGTGTGAGTTCTGTGTCAGCCCAGAGCCACTGCACAGGGACTGGGGCTGAGACACCCGGAGCAGAGAGTTGGGGTCACGCCTCCAAGTCTGCCCGCCCACTCCCCGTGTCGGGGTCCCTTTGCCGCCTCCGCAGTGCCTGTCCGGGTCACAGCGTGGGTCTCTGCTGGCTCGTCCTGCCCTTCCACCCCGATGCTTGAGGCTCGGCTCTGCCTCTCCGAAGCGCTCTCTCTACCCTTCCTTCCTTGTTTCCCGTCCTCATCTCTGTCTCTCTTCTGTGGCTCTCCCCTGCGAAGTCGCCTTCCTCCCACACTATCTCCTATCCTGGTTTTCCCAGCCTTAAATCTCTCCTTGTTTACATCTCTTACCCAGCTTCCGTCTCCCTCTCTCCATCTCTCTCCCTTTATCTCTGTCTCTCCCCAGATCTGTCTCCGCGGGCCCGGGTGGGTCCGGGTGGGTCCAGGTCTGCCGGCCCGGGCGGGCGCACCGAACAATGCCCCATTCACGAGGCTCGCCGGCGCCATGGCAACGCGCCCGCCCCGCCCTCCCTGCGCGCGTGCCAAGAAGATGCCATGGTTACGTCAGGCGCGTGCCCGCCTCGCGCGCCGCCGTCCCGCGCGCCCTTGCAAGGGCCGAGCCAGCAGGGGGCGCTGGCCGCAACCTCTGCCCCAAGGCAGGAGGGGCTGTGCTCCTTCCCAGGGCCCTTCAGAGACCCAGTGCCTCAGTTTCCCCATCTGTAAAGCGTCAGGGTGGGCAGCTGCGTGCTCTGTGTGTGTGTGACAGAGAGAGAGACAGAGTACTTTTTTTTTTGAGACAGGGTCTCACTATGCAGTTCAGGCTGGCCTTGAACTCACAGTGATCCTCCTGCCTCAGCCTCCTGAGTGCTGGGATTACAGGCGTGCACCCCCACACCTGGCTTGAGAAGGTACTCTTGTAAATGGGGATGGATATGTGAGCTTGCATCTGAAAGTTGGTGGACCATGTATGTGTGCAAACATGGGTCCACACTTCT